TTTTTTTTTTTTTTTTTTTTTTTTTCTTTCTGGTCTAAGATTTCAAGGACTAGATTTAGAGGACAGTATCACCGATCTTTCCAACTTGGAATAAATTATAATTGATCCAGCTCATTATTAAAACAAAATTTTTTTTGAGACAGAGTCTCACTTTGTCACCCTTGGTAAGAGAGTTGTGGCATCACAGCTCACAGCAACCCCAAACTCTTGGGCTCAAGCAATTCTCTTGCCAGCCTCCTGAGTAGCTGGGACTACAGGTGCCTGCCACAATGCCTGGCTATTCTTAGGGTCTTGCTCTTGCTCAGGCTTGTCTTGAACCTGAGCTGAGCTCAGGCAATGCACCTGCCTTGGCTTCCCAGAGTGCTAGGATTACAGACGTGAGCTGCCGCGTGGACCCTACCAGCATGCTGCTACTCCACACAAGCGTCCTGTGGAACATCCACATTCACAGAAGAGCCCAGAAGTGTACGTGGAGCAACCCAAGAACAGGGTTTTTGTGTTTTTTGGCGGGGGGGGGGGGGGTTATTTTTTTACATGAGGGGGACACACAGTATAACCAGAGGTTTTTGTTTTATTTTTAACCAAAAAAGGTTTTCTTTCAAACCACTTTTACCTAAGGTAGACGTCTGTACCACTTGCTGATAAAAGCCACCCTGCCAAAGAGACATGTGACTGGGACACCTGACACTGTGTAGGATCAATCTGAGAAGAACAGAAAAAGCAAGAGATGCTCTAAAATTAGCAGTTTAAGCTTTTCTTGTGGGAAACACAACTTCTTACAGATCTGATGTCAGTCACAGCAAGTATCTCACTGGAAAAACCAAACACATGGGTACATAGAAAAGAGGCACTTCAGAATGTTAAGTATAGTTTTAACTCTACAATGAGCAAGTTGATGTTTTCCAATCAAGATTATCAAGTGACGAGAAATTACCCATGTTTCTCTGACCTATAACCAAAAAGAGTAAATTTTAAGAAAATGATCAATATCTAAAAGTTCAGGAAAAGTAAAAAAAAAAAAAAAAATCCCCCCAATAGCCACTGTCCACACAAGAGGCTATTCCTCCCTCACTTCTCCCTCAGGGAGAGATGAATGTGCATTTTAAGATACTGACATTTTATGCTCAGATATAACCTTTGGCTTTTCAGTATTTGTTTAGATATTTTTAAATTCAATACAAAAGAGGTTTAATTTGCCAAGTTAAATGACATAACATAAACTTTGGAAGATTCATCTTACCTCCTGGACTGTAATTCTCTGGCAAAGGAAGAGAACCGCATGACTGACACATCTGTGCCCAGGTGGTACACTGTGCTCCATGCAAGAGAAAAGCAGGGCAGCTTGGAGACAGGATTACGGCTGAAGGGGCATAAAGACAGCTTTGCGGCAAACTGCAAATCATGACTGTTACCTTGCAGGACAGCAAAAAAATCCACATCTCTAATTTCTGCAGAACATGGCCTGTGGCCAGTGAGTGTACCAGGCTCTCACCATCGAGTCAGTGTGCGTGTGAGCTCACCAGCCAGGGGGATGGAAACAGGAAATCAGGCAAAAGTAGAGGACCCGCACTGTTTAACATGGGACGAACTCAACAACTTAACAGACACTAAGAAAACCCACCACCACGCAGCAGACTCGCACAAGCGCCCCACCGGCCGGCTCCAGCTCACTCCACCTCCTCCGGGCCGTCTGCCAGGCGCCCTCTGCTCTGCCGACGGAGGCTCACCAGACGCCCGGCCGATCGCAGGCTCCACCTGGAGCTGGCTGTGGCATCAGCCAGGCTGCTGTACTTGGTTGAGCCCTTGGTACCCTCCTCCCAGCCCGGCCGAGATGAGTGGCTGCCCGAGGCATCCTCCAAGTCAGCTGACACATCTTCAAGAGCAAGTTTTGGAGGCTCCCAACCTTCAATCTCATCTGGTTTTTTAGACTGTATATTCTGTTTTAAAACCAAATTGTCCCAAAATCCAGATTTCTTCTCTGTCTTCAGTTCTTCCTTTAATCTTACATTAGTTCTGCAGGAGATGAAAGAGTGAAGAGTTGGTGATCCAACAATCTTAAGTTATTTAAAAAAAATTTAAATTATTTGGAAAGCCAACAAAAATCTGTAAAGTTTTAGATATTAAAATTAATAAGGAAAATTAGTCATACATGTTGTCAATGAAACATGTAAAAACCATAATTCAGGCTACCACTTGGCAGTATGTGAGCCAAGACCTAGTTCTCAGACAATAGGTAAAGTGTTACACAAAGGAGCCCTTGTCCAGGCAACCTGAGGGAAGTGCTTCAGTGTCTGAGCAGACCAACTAGGAAGGGATGACTAGCAAGCTAGGGCCAGGCACAGTGGCTCGCACCTGTGATCCCTACACTCTGGGAGGCCAAGGAAGGTGGACCTCTTGAGCTCAGGAGTTTGAGACCAGCCTGATCAAGAACAAGACCCGGTTTCTAAAAAACCGAAAAAATTAGCCAGGCATTGTGGCAGGTGCCTGTATGCCCAGCTACTCAGCAGGCTGAGACAGAAGGATCACTTGAGCCCAGGAGTTAGAGGTTACTGTGAGTTGGGGCTGATGCCACAGCACTCGAGGTTGAGCAACAGAATGAGACGGTCTTAAAAAACAAAAAACACCATAGCTCTACTCCATTGTGGGTATGTGTGATGAATCCCATTTGTTACCATGACCTCTCACAAGACCTTCAGGATCAAGCAGTATCTGGCCAAGAAACAAAAACAAAATCATCCCATTCCCCAGTGGATTTGAATGAAAACTGGTAATAAAATCAGGTACAACTGGAAGAGGAGACACTGGAGAAGAACCCAGCTGGGTCCATGAGGATCGCACGTGAGATGGCACATACTCATGCTCCGTCAAGGTCACTACCATCTTACCAGATCGAGCTGAATGTCATCAGTTGGGCAGTTGGCCACGCTTCACTGGGAAAATGAGTTTTCTCTTCACTAATAAGCTAGTGCTCTTCACTAATAAATATTTGAGAACTTTTGTTTGAAAAACAAACAAACCCCCCCCCCCCAAACCTCCCACCATATAGTAAGCTAGTCTGAAGAATTTAGTAGGTAATTTGCTCAACAAAAATAGGAATTCAGAACACTGACTACCACAAAAATGAGGAAGGGTCCAAGGTGTACTGAGGACTGACCCCCATGAAAGACAAAGCCAGGTGTGGTGAGGGTCAGTGCCCCGCCTTCCGTGGCTGCCGGGGGCTTTGCCTGGGAGCATCTCTAGGGACACCAGTGTCCAGACACAGCAGCTCCCCTGACAGCCAGGGGCCCTGTTCACATTGTCCTTTACAGACGCAGCATGGCTGGTGTGGCAGGCAGGGCAAGGAGGGCAGTGGGTCTGCGCCAGTGCCCAGAAATGAGAACAGCAGGCAGGGCCCACAGGCCTCAAACAAAAGCCAACTCTTTACTTGCGGGCTCACCAAGAGTCATCTTTGAATCAAGTGACTCTTCATATCACTGAGTAAATAAGCCACTGGTAGTGGCACTAGGTAGTCACTGAGTTTATATTTTCAACTTAAAAAACTTTTTAAACTTTTGAAATACAGTGGAACCTCTGTGAACTGACCGCCCAAGAGACTGTAACAAACTGGTCAACAGATGGAGGTGGTCACCATCTGGAACTGGGCCTTCTGTACTGATACCTAATGTGATGTATGTGTGTTCTATGAAAATTAGGTCAACTCAAGGAGGTAGTCAGCTATGGAGGCTGTACTGTATATAGCACAAAGTAGCAGCAATGTCAGTTTAAGTCTATTTAATTTTCTAAAATCCCTTACAGTTTACTTATCAATCCTTTGGATTTTCTTTTTTTTTTTTTTTTTTTGAGGCAGAGTCTCTGTCACCCTGGGTGGAGTGCTGGGGTGTCACAGCTTACAGCAACCTCAAACTCTTGGGCTTAAGTGAACCTCCTGCCTTAGCCTCCCAAATAGTTGAGACTACAGGCACCTGCCACTATGCCCAGCTAATTTTTCTATTTTTAGTAGAGACAGGGTCTTGCTCTTGCTCAGGCTGGTCTTGAATTCCTGAGCTCAAGCAGTTTGCCCATCTCAGCCTCTCAGAGTGCATGAGCCACCGTGCCTGGCCAATCCTTTGCATTTTTACCAGTGCTTCTCCTTATTTCCTGAAACTACAAAAATCCTAAGTGTGGCTACCAACGGCTTTAAAGCTAATAAGTTCAGTTTATAATTTTAAGTTCTTTTCCAGTTTTGCATAACTTTGTAAAAAGCTTATAGTTATATCTTTATGACCTCTTACAAAAAGTACAGTTTCTTTGTCTCCAGATCATTAAAAAATACAACTCATTTGATTCTTCAGAGGGATGAGTTCCCCAGTGGGTGTGTCACATAGTCTGGCGGCCACATGCTCCATGGAGACAGCCAGGGAGGGTAGAGCCCTCGATGCGCCACAGCAGCTTCCAGTGAAACTGTTCGTGTCAGGGTCTCCAGCTCCACTCCACCCCTTAGGGAATTCATTCTTTTCCTAACTCACCCTCTGGACTTGGGAGATTCACAACTTTCCAGTAGACGCTGCTGGTCATCTTTATTAAACAGAGAAGTCACTTCTTTCCAACCTCGGAAACTTGCTCCCTGAACCTAAAAGAAGGTTAAGAAAAATGTCAAACCTGATATGAATCAACAGATGTCAGTTTTCTATTCCAATAATCACAGAGCTAAAATCTAGAAAAGAGTAACTGGAAGAGCTAACCTCTTACCTTCCTCTATCTACATACATAGTTTTCTCCTGTTAGCTACTAACAATCCCAGATGTTATTATGTATTATAGTCATATCAGATTGCCAATGTTGCTCAGTAATCTACATTTAGTAAAAGACTAGTTAGTAACCATATTTTACCTAAAATAGGTTGTGATAATGGACAGTGCCTGTGGCTCAAAGGAGTAGGGTGCCGGCCCCATATGCCGGAGGTGGCAGGTTCAAACCCAGCCCCGGCCAAAAACTGCCAAAAAAAAAAAAATAGGTTGTGATAAAGATGCTTATAATCAGATGAAGCTTCCCATCAAAGTTAAGAACAAAGTCTCCTTAAGCTGTAGGAGACTGACCCTACAGAGGTTATTCTTACCAAGGTCACCCAGAAGGAGGGGATCCCCCCAAATCCTCCCTTTAATCTGTCATCACTGCACTTTAGTGTTTCTTCCTCCACACATCATCGAAGACCCTAGCAGGGCACTTCCCTGGGATTCTATTTCTGACATCATAATGAAAGAATTATTGAGACTTAAATTACTATCCAGTATTTCCATTGAAATTATTAGGAATAAGATGCAAAAAAATAGTTTCTAGTTAAGGATCTTCAAACAGATACCCCTGAAGAGGAAAAACTGAAATATAAGGGGAAAATGAGACAGCAAAAGTTCCTAGAAATAAAGTACATGGTGAATGTGCATTGAAAGGGTGAAGGGGCTCAGCGCCTGTGGCTCAAGCGGCTAAGGCGCCAGCCACATACACCTAAGGTGGCGGGTTCGAATCCCCAGCCCGGGCCCGCCAAACAACAATGATGGCTGCAACCAAAAAAAAAAAATAGCCAGGCGTTGTGGCGGGCGCCTGTGGTCCCAGCTACTTGGGAGGCAGAGGCAGGAGACTCGCTTGAGCCCAGGAGTTGGAGGTTGCTGTGAGCTGTGATGCCATGGCACTCTACCCAGGGGGACAGCTTGAGGCTCTCTGTCAAAAAAAAAAAAAAAAAAGAAAGGGTGAATGGATGGTCTTAAGTACTCCATAGATACAAGCGGAAGAGCTTCATGTCCCATGAAGAAAACCCCTATGAAATGCTGGAAAGAAAGTTAACATCCATAATTTCCCAGAGTTCTCACAGTTGGAGAGGTTACAGGGAAGCATCCAGGCCCATGCGGGCACCTGAGGCTGAGACCTATGTCCCTTGCATAGAACAGGGTCTGGATCCTGGGAACTCTGTCTGACACAACTGGACCCCCAAACCTCTCATCTCTTTGGACTGTAGAACAAACCTTATCTGAGCAAGTTAAACTCTCCGAAGTACCACGATCCTTCAAACTTAATGTCATAATTTATAACCTTAAAATTAAAAAAAAAACCTTCAGGTTTAAGACCAAGATCTAGTATCATTTGTATTGTCTCCTATTTTTCCTCACATATAAAACTCTAGCCTTAAGTGTTCAATTCTAAATAAAGCAGATATAAATTTCTCTTTTCACCACTGGCAAGGTATGTTCGTGGTACGCCCTGCAGTTCCAGGTCCCAACAATCAGAGCCAGAAAAACTACATCAAAATGAGATGCACCATTTCAGTAAGGTCAATAAGGAAACATTATACCACACCTCTCTGAAGAACAGTAGTAGCTGGTGATAGGGACGATCAGAAAGAAGAATGGGAGGAAAGCTCTGGCTAGCTCAGAGTCATGTAACCATGTGCACCAGGGCAGTCCACATCTCACAATATTTTAATATTTTAGCAAAGGTTATTTTATGCGTATACTTCCTAAAGGCATTTAAAAAAAATGGTCAGAAAAAAAAAAAGAAAGAAAAAGTCTTGGTTAGGCCAGATGTCCCAATTTCTTATCAGGAAAATGCTGAATTCTGGGGAGATGGCCGACTGGTAGCAACCCTCGTCAGAGGCCCCGGAGAAGAAGAAGAAAAACTAGACAGAATCAGACTCTACGAAGCCAAAGACGGGGAGCTGAGCCAAGAAAGAAGTTCAGCAAGCTTTAACTCCATGGAAGAGCACTCAAGAAAACAAATTACAGGTACAAAGCATATTGACTAGAGGATGGGAGACCCCTCCCCAAGCAGGAGGTCTGCTGCAGGCGATCTGTGACGAGCAGGGAACAAAAGACCTCATTTTACCTCGCTGGTGAGAGCTGCTAAACTCCAGGTCTCTTTTTCCAGGGAGGTCCCACTTAGGAACCTAGACACCACCCCACCAGGCATAAAATTGAACAGATATTTTTCCCCAGAAGTCCAAACTCCCAGTCTACCCTTTCCTCCTTGCGTGGCGGTCTGAAGTTGTGCCCCCTGCACAGCATAGAGCGTTTGGTCTTGTTCTGAGAGACCTGGGCATAGTATGGTCCGTCAACCATCAGGATGGAACCTGTGACTAAAGGGGGAAAAAAAGAGGGTGTGGGAAGAAAGGGACACGCCGCAGGAGGAGGAGCAGGCCCCTGGTTATGACTATGCCTGGCCAGTGGTAGTGGTGACCCTTAGTTGGGGCTGTGTCTGGCGGGACAGAGTACAGAACCCCCGGCTCTGACAGCACCCACAGCAGGAGAGTGGTTGCCCCACGTGGACTGAGTTTGGCAGACAGGGCTGGTCCCTGCTGGGCCTGAGAGCAGAGGCTTGATAGGCATGGACTGTGACCTGAGAGCAAGAGCGTGGGCCCCTGATTCCAACAGAACCCTCGAGCAGTGGCTTAGTGGGTGTGAACCAAGCCTGAGGGCTAGGGTGTGCTCCACTGCCTCCAGCGGGGCTGGTGAGCAGACAGAGGCTTACCAGGTGAGGACTGAGAATTGGGGGCAGAGTGTGGCACCCTGACTCTAACAGCACCTGCGAACAGAGGCTTGCCAGGCAGTGGACTGAGACTGGCAGGTGAAGTGTGATCCCCTGACTCCATCTGGTCTGGCAAGCAGAGGCTAGCTGTGTGTGGACTGAGATCAGAGGGCAGGCCCAGTGCCCTGTCTCCAGCAGAACCTGCAAACAGAGGCTTGCTAGGCAGTGGACTAAGACTGGCAGGAGGGGGCATGGTCCCCTGACTCCACCTGGTCTAGTAAGCACTACTCCAGACCCTACTCCAGAGGCTAGCTGTGTGCAAACTGAGACCCATGGGTGGGGGCGTGCTCCTGGCTCCAGCTGGGCCTGTGGGCAGAGAAGAAGACAATAATGTGGAATGAGTCTGGCAGGTAGGAGTGTGGATCCCTGGCTCCAATTATGCTTTGAATCCCTTTGCTTTGAATTGTCCTTGAATATCTCTCTGTTGGGTAGGGTTTGCACTGCCAGAGACAATTTGGTTGGAACCCATGTCTGGGGCTATCCACTCAGGGACATTCTGAGGTTGACCTTTGAAGTTCTATAGTGGAAAAGAACTGAAGGGTGGGAGCTGGGCACCCAGCTGTTTGTATCTCTTCACAGTCGAGATTTAAACCTAATAGTGTGCTTTCTTAGGATAGGATAGAGGCTGGCTGATACCAAAACAGAGCTAGCCTGCACTATCTCACCAAGTAGGGCCTCAAAGTCTCCTACCAAAACTCTGAAAGGGGGCTCTGTAAGGTTGTAGGAGATAAACCACAATTACAAAGCTTAGAGCTTTGGTAAGAAGCTATCTCTACTACCTGGGAACCCTAATTCAATCTCACCCTACCAGTTCTAAGAACCAAACAGTGGAAAATAAACATGGTGCGGACCCAACAGAAGAACTCTGGCAACATGAATAACCAGAGTAGATCAACCACCCCCCAGAAATGACAAAGGAGATACAACAGAAATTGTCATGCATAGACAAATGGCAGCAGTGTTAGAAACTGAATTCAGAATATGGATTGCAAATAAGATAAATATAATGGAAGAAAAGATGGAAATTGAATTCCAAAGAGTAGTTCTAAAGTTGTCTCAAGAAATTAATGAATTCAAAGCCCAAGTCACCAAAGATATGGACATAATGAGAAAAGAGATAGCTGAGCTCAAAGAAATGAAAAAGTTAGTTGAGTAGCTTCAGAATACAGTAGAATCCCTCAGTAATAGAGTTGACCAGGCAGAAGAAAGGATCCCTGAAACCAAGGACAAAACAGTTCCCAAATACTCAAAGAGGCACACAAATGGAGAGCAAAAACTGATCATTCCCTGACAGAGTTGTGGGATCACTCCAAAAGATCAAACATTCATCTTATAGAAATTCCCAAAGGAGAAGAGGATGGTCCTAAAGGTACAGCTGCTCTACTCAAGAAAACAGAAGGAGAGAAAGCCAACAACTTAATGGATCATCTCAAGTAACCAGCAGAAGAAAAGAAATAACCAAAATTAGGGCAGAATTAAGTGAAACTGAAAACAAAAGGACCATTCAGAAGATCAACAAAACAAAAAAAGTTGGTTTTTTGAAAAAATTAACAAAATTGATAAACCTTTGGCCAACCTAACCAGAAATAGAAAAGCAAAATCTCTAATATTGTCTATGAGAAACGATAAAGGGGAAATAACAACAGACACTTCAGAAATTCAAAAAATCCTCAATGATTACTATAAAAATCTCTATTCCCAGAAATATGAAAATCTGAAGGAAATGGACCAATACCTGGAAGCATACCCCCTTCCTAGATTCAACCAGGAAGAATTAGAAATATTGAATAGACCTATATCAACCACTGAAACAGCATCAACAATACAAAATCTCCCTAAAAAGAAAAGTCAGGGACCAGATGGCTTTACATCCGAATTCTAACAAACCTTTCAAGAGGAACTAGTACCTATATTATACGTTTTCCAAAGCATAGAAAAAGGAGTACTTCCCAACACATTCTCTGAAGAAAATATCACCCTGATACCCAAACCAGGAAAGGATCCAACAAAGAAAGAAAATTATAGACCAATATCATTAATGACTATCGATGCAAAAAT